AAACATTTATTGCTCCTAAAAAGGTGGTAACAAGGATATTTTGGATATTTTGCACCAAAAAAGTGACATGTTTGCAAACAAAAAGTGAAAGAGACAATTTTTTTTGGATTTTCAAATTTAGTGACATTTTTGAAAATTCCCCTTTTAAAATTTATCGGGGAACTCTGCATGAACTGTCCTTCTTTTAAGCATTTCAAACGTTAGTTATCCCTTTCGGTCATTAATTTTTCCTTTCACCAATTCTTTATCAACGATCTTGCACAAATGTCGTTCGCCTGAAGCCCCATCTCCGATGACACCTCTCGAAGGTTTGCCACTCTTTGTCCTTCTACCTCTCTCTCTCTCATCCTCACAAAATTTATTCCTACACTATCTCTTTGTTCCACAACAATGGATAGAAATTTCCGAGTTTGTTCACACTTCTTGCTGCAAGAGCTCAAATTCATTATTTTTCGACTTCAAGTTTGATTTTCTTGAACAGCATCATCGCATCTGTTGTTAATAGTTAATGTGACACTTACCAAAATAAATAAAAATCCCCTAACCCCTTCTTTGGTTTCCCCGATTTTCCTCCCTTTAAAAACGTGTGATATACAATACAACAAAAATCAAACTAGTAGTGCTTTGATTATTTTTGGAACTTAGGATGATAGCATAGCACGATTTTGATGTTTTCGTACTTTTTGTGGATTATCAATCATTTCGTGCATGTCAACTATTTTTACGTTGTCTCATTGAGATTCTTCCACACAAGTCAATTTTTAAGATTTTATTTTCTTTTTGGTAATTTTTTATACCACAATCGAGTCTTGATTGACTCAATGTCTTTGTTCTTCTTCTTTCTTCTTTAGATGTTGATAATAATTTTACTTCCACATGGCTAAGCTCTATTGGATGATGGCTTATCGAATAAAATCCCGCTTATCCCCCATCGTCTCATTGGCCAAACTTGACCCCCGTTATTATATTTAATGTCAAGGTAATAGTGATGAAAATCTGAGATAGTAAGTGTAAACCACAAAGGGAAGGCAAGGGGATGGGGTCCATAATTGATGAGGTGCAGTCCAAGTTCCTCAACAAAAATGTAAGAATAAATTGCACCAAGGGTCCTCAATCTCTAGTAAGTGGAGAACTCCAGCCTACTATTTTTGTTGCAATCATGCCCCTAAATTATCAATAACTCGCAGAAAATATTTATTTGAATGTTAAATAGCCACAGGACATTTGTGTGATGTCTGGGAAGGGTTGAAGCAAGGAGGTAGATTTCATGACACTGAGAATTTTTCATTGTATTCGAATGTTTAAATAAAAGTTGAAGATATTTATGAATTGTTTTGGAATTAAAAAAGATTTTGGAAAATTTTATCGTTTTCTTCGGCATTACAAGAGTTTCGCATGGTCATTTAACGTTCAAGTAAACATTTTCAATTAATTCGAGACATGGGTACTACAATTTTAAAAGGTTGGTAACATAAGTTAATCAAAATGATAGGTTGGGAATATCTGTCATACTAAAAGTTAGGGATCCCGATGAAATTTACCCAAAAATTGAATAATAGCTCAATTAGAAATAAAGCTCCTATGTGGTGGAGATTTTTTAAAATTCATTTACAATGAAACATTCTTCCACTGAAATAATGTTACGGGAGACCCATAAATTTTCTTGATTTTTTAACTACACATTTTTCAAAAAATCACTTTTTTATATAATTTATTCTCAAAAAAATCTACATCATACATAATCTAAATTTAGGCCAACTCTGCTTTGAAAATTTCAACTATGTTGAACAGAGAGAAGTGATGCTTGCAACTTGTAAAATTACATTCAAATATTCAATGTCAAGATGACAAAAAAATTCATTACCAACAATATCTAAGTAGTAAAATGTTGTGTAATTATTTTCAAATATATTTTTCCATTTTTTATTCCATTTTTCTCTTATAAGACAAAAATAAAATAGAAAAATGGAAGTATACTTGTGTACTATCATGAGATAAGAGATTCTCCTTGATTAGTCATTTTTGTTTTCATTCACATAACCTTTTTCATTTCATTGCAAGATAATAGGTAATTAGTATAAAACGTTCTTATCTTTCAATATTATTGTGTAAAACGTCATTATCTGTTGTTTTTTTGTTTTGGCATTTTCACCTTATTTTCACATTTCATTGCGAAAATCATCATTTTCATTCATTTTCTCAATTAAAAGCTGTAAAATGACAAATATACCCTCCTATTTAAATAAAAATAAATAAAGAATTAATTGCAATCATAATCCCTATTTTAAAAAAATTACAAATGAGTCACAAATATATAATTAAAAATCAAAACTAAAAAAACCAAAAATCATTCATCTTCTTGGCTTCTATCACATGCCCCACTGATGTTCTTTGCTTTTGTGTTAGTGGGAATTCAAGATTTTCGGTGCTGAAGATCTACAAAAGCTGCCCACATTTCATCCGGTAAAGCCGTGGTATTGTTTTGAGTTGGGTCTTATCAGGTGATTAGTCTTCTCTTTTGTTAGGAATATTGGGTCTAACTCCACCTAATAAAACCGGCTTATTAGGGGAGGATTGCCCTCGCCTTATTAAGTGGATCATTTATATTTTCCCAAACAATGTGGGATTCTAATACGCCCCCTCACGCACAGCGTGAAATATGCCAAACAATTGTGAACAAATCGATATTGGGTGGCACCCAACATTGCATTCTCAAACAATGTGAGATTCTAATATCTTTCATATTTGAATTGGGACATTTGTGGGCATTCTTATCAGCATTTTGGATGAAGTCAGACAAATGTGAATGCAGCACAGTAATGCTGAAAGTAAATTTTAATTTCTTTTGTTTCAAGCTCAAAATAATCCATACAAACATCAATTCAATACATTGACACTGATGTATGATGATTTCATTAAGAAATCCAACAAAAGTAAATGCATGAAATGGGGTTGATTATTGATTTTTGTTATTTGATTTTGGTTGATGGAGAAGTGGGATGAGGCAAAAAGGGGTGAAGAGCATATTTCTTGGACTTTTGGTGTATGTTCTTGTGATATCAGCTGCTGCTGATGTCAAGCACTTGAATATATAGCCAATGCCAAAGCAGGTGGACCATGGACATCGAAATCTTTATCTACAGCAACAATTTCGAGCTCAAGACTGATGGAAGCAAGTATCCAGATTCTTCAGGGATTCTTAACACAATCATGTTACATGTACATAATCATTCACACAATCTTTTACACCCTCTCACATGGAGGGAGGTCTCACACACAATAAAATATTAGCGTACATTATTCATGTGAGACATGTGTACGTACACCTGGTGTACAAACAGCTTTATCCTTCTTAACGATGGGTTCTTGAGGAAAATTGATGCTATCAAATCAACTCATGTTATTGAAACCAATTTTTTCCGTTTCAATCCTTCTCTCTTGTTAAAAGAAATTTCAGTAAAGGTTCAATTGGAGAAAGGGGGAGAAGATGAGGTGATTTTTATTTTTTCAGTTTTGATTTTTAATTATATATTTGTGATTCATTTGTAATTTTTTGAAAATTTAGGATTATAGTTGCAATTAGTTATTAGTTTTTTTTTTTTTTTTTGATTTAAATAAGAGAGTATATTTATCATATCACAACTTTTAATTAAGAAAATTGATGAAAATAATGATTCACAGTGAAATGTGAAAAAAATGGTGAAAATACCAAAAATATGAAATATATGAACGTTGTACACAATAATATCAAGTGATATGGCGCTAATTATTCAAAAGATAATGTTATCATCCACGTGTCACATCATGGTCGGTTGTCGTGAGGAATGGTTCCACAAGATTGTGCTAATCACCCAAAAATAATGTTATCATCCACGTGTCACTCTACAGTTGGTTGTCATGAGGAAGGGTCCCACAAGTTCAAGCTTCAGTTTCCCTGTCAAAATCCTGATAGGGGTCTCTAGACAGACCATAAATTTGGTCATGGGCTCCACCCTAGAAATAATTCATCCACTTTCAAGAAAATTTTATGGCCCCAAAAGTGGACTTTCTTTTGATCCAAAAAACACTTCACTGTGTAATGCTTCGTCCAAATATAATCCCCTAGGGTTCTTGCCAAGTGCATGTCTTCTTAGATGAAAAACGCGACAAAGATACTTGGTGTAGGATAATTGTACCGTCCTATATTGTGAGACCGTCTAATAAGAGATCGCCATCTCATCGAGTGATCCAGTCTCACTCAATGAGGTGGCCTAATGAGGTGAGGCCACCTCAGGGCTTGAGTTTCTCTCTCTTTCCACCTCAAGTCTTGAGGTGATCTCACCCCATTGGAGGAGGCTGTGCCATCTGATGAGGTGGTGGCTCCTCATTGGATGACCACGCCACGTAGAACTGTGCGATCGTCCTATCCAAATATTTCTTCGTAGGTGTAGCCTTGAATAACGTGAGACTCGTACGAGTGGTTATAAGGGAAGAAGTTATTTAAAGCATGTTTCATATGACTTATGTTAAAATATGAATTTCAAATGTTTGATTAATGTTAAATTATTTTGAATGTAGGTGAATTGACATTGAAAATAAGGAATACATTTAGTGCAACCCATAATCTGGCATAGCTCAAGCTTTTGTTTGCCCTTTCAACTTATCACATATCAACCTCAATTGATATATCTTGTTATTTGTGCCTCATAGACATTTGTATTAAGTTAATTTAAAATAGGGATAATTGCAGTTGAAACTCCAAACTTTTCAAACAGTGACACACTTTCTCCTAACATTTCAATCATTGCAGCCGTCACCCCAAACCTTTCAAATCGTAACAGTCGATGCCCCAATGGATGGTTTTCATCCAATCTGTCGTTAGTTGATCCAAAAAATTAATTTTGATAAAAGGTAATGAAATGTATTGTTGAAAAGACGTAGGTTCCATGAAATTTGAAATTAAAATTAGCCGTTGACTTTGTTTTGAAATTTTTATCAACTTTTAATCTACTTCAAACACATGTATATAATGTATTCATATACTTTGGGGCCGTAGGCAAAAAATCTTGAAGGAAACTTTTCAAAAATAATTTTTTTTTGTATAAAAATAAATAGAGTAAAATTTAGAAACCTCTATGGGTTTATGACAATTTTAGAAATACTTCCATATTTTATAAAGTTCAAAAAATCCCCTATTAGCATAAATTTTCCATTTTATCATTTTTTTCTTATGTTAAATATAAAATTATATTTATCTTTTTCACAAATTATTACATTTAATATATTTGTCAAAAGTAACCATTGCATTTTTCTTAAAAAGGAATAAAATTGATACATTCTTTCTTCTATTTTTGTTTTTGATATTATAATAAAGCATCTTAAATTTAATATAGTATAGATGACAAAATGCCCCATCCCCACAACGCCTCATAAATGCTTCGTCCCAAACAACCGTCCTAATTATTAATTTAATTTAATTATATATAAATCTAAATCTAAATCATGTATAAAAAAAAAAAAAATCAAGCCATTGTTTGATTTGGATAAAAATTATATTTTCGGTAGATTTTGATCAAAATTAGTGAGACGTATGATTGGAATTTTGATAAAAGTCGCGAATCTAATGAAATATGTAATTGAAAGCGAATTTGAAATGAATATGTTTAAAAAATGTGGGCCAAACAAGAACTAAATAAAAAAATAAATGAGAAATTATATATAAATGAAAGTAGGGGAGGGCAATCATCCATGTCCCCATCCCTTCAAATACTTTTAGGAGGCGGATGAGCATTTATTGTCCCGTTTACTTATTTATTTATTTTTAGTGTTATATTTTTTCAAGTACAAATTAAATTTAAAAAAATATATAAAAAGAAAATAGAATGAAAAGATTCGAGTGGAGCATCGAGGGGGCAAGTTCAAGTTGGGAAATTCTATCATCTCTACTAAAAATATTTCAATTACCAATCATGTCATGTCCTGTCCTGTCCTGTCCCGATCCAATATCCAAAATCCTTGATGAGGCAGGGAAGATAGGGCCACCCTAGAATACCCCAACCCCTTTACATCCCTATAAGTGCTACAAGTACAAAAGAATAGAGATTAAAAATATAATTTTATTCAAATAGTATAGAAAAAATTAAATACAATTTTATTTTATTTGAAAAAATTATTACTATTTTTTTTAAAAAGGGAATAAAAGAACAAACTAGGATAATAAAATAATATTAAATGATAGATACAGATCATATTATCAATACCTAGTGTCCATTTGACCCTCATTATTTCACATTATAATGAGATGAATAATAATTTTTTGGAGAATGTGTAATTGATAAAGATAGAGAGAAAAATGAATTATAATTGGGAAAAAAAAATCATATACCAGGGATTAAGTATACACCTGTTGAATTTCCAGAGAATAAGTTTATATTTTCAAAACTCAAGTGTTAATTAAATTTTATTATATAAATAAATAATTATATATAAAATAATTACAATCTCTCTCTAGTTAGGGCAAGAGTCACTGACATTCGCCTTGTCGGCATCCATCAGTCGGTATCCAAATGACTTCGCTGGAGAAAAAAAATAAAATTTACAAATATCGTTGGCAACTGAGCATCTTCTTCAACACCGAACTGATTATCGCTCAACAATGACTGAGCATTGTCGGCTCAAATAGTAGAGAGAGAAGGAGAAACAGAGTGGCTGATGTAATTTAAATTTATTTTTTAAAAATAAAAACCCCAGGGGTAATTTACATAGTACTCACACACCGTTGAAATTTGGTTAATTGAATTTGTGACCAGTTTGGAGAAATCAATGGCATGTTGCCCGTTTTCTTGAATTTACACTGATTTGTTGCTTGTGATAGTGTCCTAATGGCATTTGAACTATAATTTGTGACATATAGATATTGATCTGTTATCTATGAATAATGACATGTTACTTGTGAACTATAACTTGTGACCAATTAATATTAACATGTGAACTCTAATCAGTGACCTGTAAACATCTGTGACCTACGATTAATATCGATTTGTGATGGTGACCTGTGAACTTTGACCAATTAATATTGATACGTGAACTATAATCTGTGATCTGTGAACAAATGTGACATATACAATATGACATGTGACATGTAAACTATAATCCGTGACCTGTAAATATTGATCAGTGACCTGTAACAAGTGCACAAAGACATGTGACACGTTATCAATTCACATGTCACAAGTCATTGTGCACAGGTCACGGGGCATTACATGAATGTCACAATTATCAATTTTATTGGTCACAAATTGTTTCTTGATCACATATTAACCCAATTTATTGGTCACAAACCTTGCTTATACAACACCAACCCAATCCAAACCCAGTATTACAACCACCATCAGAACCACCACCTTCACAGCCAACACCATCTGCCCTCATCGCCCACCCCAAATACTTCATCTTCTTCAATACGCCCATCCCCACTCCCAACCTGTACAATGTTGAAGCTACTTTCATGGCATCGCTCAATCCTCCAACCTCTGCTCTCAAACCCCAATTTTACTCATTTTCCCTCTTCATTTATCTTTCATTTCATTAGCCATAGTCCACATGAAAAAGGATCTTTCTTACCCCATTTTTTCCCGACAAACCTCGACAAAAATAAGAACAAACCAAAATAATTTCAAGAAAAAAACCTAAAAAGCAAAAATGATTAACACTAGAGTAGTTGATTTCTTCCATAGAGATTTAATCACAATGTATGTGATATTCATATTCTACTACTCTTTCTTCTTCATATCTAAAATAAATGGAGTGGTAGTAATCAAGAAAAGAAACATATTTGCAATGGGTGGATTTGGTTTTGGTTTGGATATAATGAGTTGGGTTGGTTTTGGGGCGGCGAGTGGTTGCTGTGGAAGGAGGAGGAGGCAGTTAGATTTGGTTTTGGTATAGTGGGGTGGGGTGAACAGTTCATGTTCCTTTTATTTTTTTATTCTTTGTTTTAATTAATTTGAGGGAAATGTACAGTACTTTGAACAATGAATGAGTGAAAATACTATATGGACGAAATTGCCCCTCCTTAAAATGGTCAAAATACCTTATTTTTTAATTTTTCCAAGTGACGGCTTTCGTCCAGATGGACCTCATCTTCATATTTATGAAAGGTTAGGGACTTTTGCTGGTACAAAATGAAAGTTATGATAAAGTTTGTAAAAATTGAAAATGTTAGGGATCGTTGCTGCAATTTTTCCTTTCTTTTATCCCTATTTGGTCTCCATTTTCCAAAAACTCGATTTTTATGAAATTTATTTTTAATTATATGTTTTATGAATCCACAACTTTAATCAACTTTTCAATCATATTTTTATCAAATTTTACTACAAATCTAATTCTTACCTAAATCAAATAAGGGCCTTGAGTCTCCCGTAGTCCTGTAAGGACTATTGAGAAATTCTGATTTGAAATTAATTTCTTACAAAACTGACAAGATTAAAATGATACTAAGGAGGGTGTTTGATGCACATTATGGAGAAGAAAATGCATTTTATGATGTGATGTGATAGAAAACACGTGGTTAAAAAATCAGGAAAAATTTTAAATTTGCGTGTAGTTGAAAAATGTATAATTGAAAATGAGTTTTGAAAGAGTGAATCTTTTTTTAAGAATGTATCAAACATGGGCTAATATGTAAAAAATTTAAAAATTAAATGACCATTTTATCCTCATCTTGAAACCCAAAATTAAAAATGAGGCCCTGACTCGGGTCAGCGACGATTGGCCAACTTTTCATTCCACAAAAGTACACGTCAGTTTGCATTTTCACTCTCTTCTTATAAATGTTTTCACCCACACACACAGAGATTCAAAAGGAAGACTACAGCATAGTCCATCTATACATATTTTGATTCTTTGAAGCTGTTAAGTTTTCATAAGAACTTTTCAAAATATGGGTGAGGTAAGTACAAATTTCTAGTTGTTGATTCAATCTACTACACATTTTTACTTTCTGTTTAAAATAACCAGTCGAATACCATGTTTCTCAATCCTATTAGGTAAATTTTCTTTATACAGAAAGATTGAGAGATTCCATTCATTACTGATATGTATATTTTATATGTTTCCAAAGGAGAAGAAAGAAGAAGCAAGCAAAGAGGAGAAGAAAGAAGAAGCAAGCAAAGACGAGAAGAAAGAAGAAGGAAACAAAGATGAAGAGCCTCCTCAAGAAATTGTGCTCAAGGTCGACATGCATTGTGAGGCTTGTGCAAGAAAAGTTGCTAAATCCTTGAAAGGATTTCAAGGTCATTTTTATTAATTATCTTGCCAAAATTTGGACCTTAACTGTCTTGTTTAGAACCTCAGATCACTTGTTTTTTGTCTTAAACTTACAGCCGAATTTATTAAAATAACATAAAATGAAGATTTGAATATTAGGTTGGTTAATTTATCTTTATATTTCATGCTTGGCACGTTTTTCAATTCGACTGTTCATTCTTTAATATTTGTTAACCCACAAATGCTAAGAATGCAATGAATATATTGTTATATCTATATTATTCCTCGGAAAATGTGACACTTTTTTATAATGCAAAGAAATCTGAATAACTTTAACAGGAGTGGAGGATGTAACGGCGGATTACAAGGCCAGTAAAGTTGTAGTGAAAGGCAAAACTGCAGACCCTTTAAAAGTGTGCGAGAGAATTCAAAAGAAAAGTGGCCGAAAAGTCGAAATCATTTCACCATTGCCAAAGCCACCCGAGGCCGAGGAGGTTAAGGAAGAAACTAAAGAGGAGCCCAAAGAAGAAAAGAAAGAAGAGGTACATCTCTATTGTCTTGTTTTATTCCAGCCTAACCCTGGTAATAAAATTTGAACATAACAAAAAAAAAAAAATGTTGTTGGGTGGGGATAGCATGGACTGTAGAATTAAGTGTTGGTTGGTGTATGTTGTGTAGACGCCAGCTTGGCCTGGCCTCAGTGCAACTTGTGAGTGAGATGTATCTTTGCTGACATTGAAAAGTATAGAAGAGGAAAAATAGGAAGGAGACACCCACTGGGCACATTCTACAATGAAAAAGGGTGAGTTACGTCCCTGTTGACCCCCCACAGATTGTACGTAGAATTCACGGGGCTGAGGCTGAACATGCCTTACCTACACTGGAATGTCTGAATTTAAGTCTGAACAAGAACGAATCCACCTGCTTGGGAAATGATATTACATCTATTAGGATAAATGCATTTTTATTTTTTTTACCTAAAATGATGAAATTACAGTTGTATTTGGAGTAAAAATTTCCCTTTCAGATGATGAATCATATGTCTTTCTTGGCTCAATCTTCTAGTTTATTCGGGTACGTTTGATTTGATATGCAGTATTGGATACAGGTTTATCTTCAAATTTGTCCCAAGTTTTGGCTGCTTTGCCTTTTTACTTTTTTTACATGGGGCCAAATGTCTGAACCATATGAATTGTTTTGTCTACGTTCTTTATTGTTTGTCTCCATGTTTTCATTGAGAATTACTGTAATAGATTCATGGTTGTGAAATAGGTAGGTGTAGCCAAAAAGTGCGAGGTACCAATCAAGAAGATATAGCAATTTCATTAGTACTGGAAATTATGAAATTGAACATGATTTTCTAGTTAGTTTTACTTAGATTTACATGTATAAACGTCTATTTACGAATGATATGGAACTTTGGGTTACTAATTGGTGGAATACAAGGCAATATGACATGCAGCACGACGCTTGTATTGCTCTCCCACGACCCCGTTTTCGCATTTTAGGTAGCTCCTATTTCGTTCGCTTCTACCATAGAAATTATTATGCGCATTTCCACGAGTAATAGACGAGCATTGGTATCATCAAATTCAATTACTTTATAATTGAATTACATTAAACTAATGTTGCCTTTTCCCCATTTAGCAGCCTCCTGCTGTTGTAACAGTTGTGTTGAAAGTTCGAATGCATTGTGAAGCTTGTGCTCAAGTACTGCAGAAGAGAATTGGAAAAGTTAAAGGTAATAACTTTTGCTATTCAAAGTGAAGTCATGCCACAAGGACGTAATTCACCAATGGATGTGTGTATTATTGTGCATTGCAGGTGTAGAATCTGTGACAACTGATCTTGCAAACGATCACGTAATTGTGAAAGGAGTTCTTGATCCCGATAAGCTTGTGAACGACGTGTACAAGAAAACCCGTAAGCAAGCATCAATAGTGAAGGACGAAGAAAAGAAGGAAGAAAAGAAGGAAGGAGAGGAGAAAGTCGAGGAGAAAAAGGAAGAAAAACAAGAAGAAAAGAAAGAAGGGGAAGAATCTAAGGAAGAAGAAGATACGAAAACTGACATCAAGAAAAGCGAATACTGGCCTCCTCCTAAGTACTATATGGACTACGCGTACCCGCCTCAAATGTTCAGTGATGACAATCCACATGCTTGCTCTGTTATGTAATCGATTCGTTTACTTCCATTAGCTATCGTACGTCAGATTTGCCATGTACTAGTATTATATATATCAATAATTATACTGGCATTTGGTAATACAAGGTTTATGCCCCCTGCAGCATTTTTCAAACAAGTCTACATTCTGTTCTTTTAGGGAAAATAATTCTGTATCAAATGGGATATGCATAAATTGCATCTATCCAAGAGTTTTTGCTTGGAAAATTCTGTGAATTCTCCAGAAACAGTATAAAACTGTAAAGTTGATGACATTATTCAATCTATCATCATTTGGACCAAGATAGTGATGAACTCGTTATCTGTGACTGATATTTAGCATTTACTAGATTGTGGTCCTAGAGATCCTTAATTTCTGTGATTTACAACGTTATATACAAACAAACATGTTGAAATTTCGAATGCCAGGCAAATCTTGTGAAGGTGCATGTGCTGCCATACTTTTGTGGCTGTGGCATATATACATTTTAAAAGCTTACAAGTTGCCCCCACAATTCCACCTTCTAAAACTCAGATTAGAAAAAAAGAGGGTGGGAGCACATGAATCTAACGCTGATTGAAACGCCTTTGGTCCATAAGGTTTGTCGCAAGCTGGACAATTATTCTACGTAAGCTAATAGTGCACGTAATAGCCCATGAGGTCGTTTAAAAAAAAAAAAAAAACGAATTGGACCATTTCTCGATTTGTTCAAGTCATCCTTGCACAAAGGGTCATGCTAATCTTCTCCATACCGTTCTAATTTTACATGTTCCCGATGGTTTCTTGCTATAGTTAGTTTAAACAAAAAGGGATGTTGAATCTGATTCGTGGCAAGTATCAATAGTGTTCCACTTTAAATGTCTGAGGAAAGACATCGAAAGCTGAGGTGGGATTTGCAGAATAAATGAGAAAGATGATGATAAACAGAAATATAAAATTTGAGGGATAAATTCCAAAGCACTTTCACGTCAAGTACACTTCAAAGCTCCCTGTATGGCTTTTTACACGGCTAATACAAGGAATGGTCCTGACATTTACTTATGATAATTATATCAAGTTACAGAGAAGGACAAAAAACTGCTGTCCATCATATGGAATTTCAACTCTGTGTGGATTTGTAAAGCAACACTGTCACATATTTGGAATGGAACCTATTAGTGGAACCAAGCGCAACCACTGATGGGCTGCTCCTATCCTTGTGCATGTAGAGATGGTTTAGCACAACATGTTGAGGTCTTGAATAAGGACGTGGAATTTCCATGTGAGATGACGGGGCATTAATCAAAGTCGACTGCAGATGTGGAGGAACCATTGCTGGTTCTTTTGCATAGTCCTCTGCAACAAGTTGCGAGTTGTTGTAGCTGGAATCTGGGGATTGAGGCGGTTCAAAACCAGATATGCTATCAATATTTTCCGGGACATAATCCTAAAACACAAGGCAGTAAGAAGCAGTTTGTCAGTAAATATTGCTGCCACCCAGACACAGTCAAGACTCAAGATGACATTCTGAGAGGTCATAAAAATGCTATCTCATTCTCCCATACTATCTCAAGATGACATTCTCCTGTCCAAGGGAAGATTCTTTTAACTTAGGGCTAGATTCCCTTTTCCCCTCAAATTGTACCTCAATCACAGAAATTTCACTTTTACCACTTCACTCCTCGTGTCTTCAATCTTTTCTTGATCAATCCAAACTGCTAGCTTGTAGTCCAAATTATTACTAGAATAGATTGTTTGCACCTCACATTGCATAAAGAAGGGCACGTTTAACCTTGCAGCACAAGTATGCATAATGCTACAAAAATTTTTGTTAAAAAGTATATAAAGCTTAATACCCACAAAAAAGCCGCAACCCTGCCAGATATCCACCATGGAAGCCTCATATAAACAGCAATCAAATCAGTCAAGAATGCAATCTTTTAACAATCCTATTACTATGATTAACACTTAGCCCCCGTTTGGGCCACCTTTTTATCTCATTAAAATGACAAATATGACCGTCATCCATCACATCAACATTTAAATTCAAAATTTCTATCTCTTGTTTGGGCCCCAATAACGGCTATATTTTTCATTCTCATTCTACAAAAAGGTTCCTCAAACAGGGCCCTATTATAAAATATTGTTCCACCAAGACTTCATACCCACTCACCACATCTATTTACATCATTGCCCACACTGTATCTAGCATGTATATTTCGATTAGCTGACAAGATTCACGTATACGAAGAAGAAAGAACAGGTATCATTCACAGTGAGAATACCAATTCTCTTCCCTCCCCAATTCATTCTCTACAAATAGATGCAACTGCTATAAACCTAGTATTTATTTTCTGGAACAAGTTTCTGCTATTTTTGGATGTAGTCAAAATTTTGACAATCTAGGGAGGATTTATTGATTGATAGGTGTGGCAAACAGTAGAACATATGACAAACAGTTGGTGCTGGGGGTGGGTTGGACAACATGGTGTGAAAAGGAGATGATGAAGTAATTGTGGGACGGTGGTTTGCTGGCGTTGTTTTGTCAAAGAGAGAGGTGTCTTTACTCTGGCACATTGTCTTTTCATATTCTCATCAAAGGTGTTGCCAATTTTGCAAAATATAGAAATCAAGGGATTAATCGATTATCTAATAAATAAATCAGGAGGCACTGAGATATACGGGAAGAAACATGGATTTTAACATTCAAATACAAAAGAATTGTTTTATTTAATTATAAATAATGAAGAATATTTTGGATAGGAGGGAGAAAAATGGATATTGACATTCATTCAAACTGAATGGTTACTTAACTATGAATAAAAATGAAAATTTAGTGGAACAAGGTCGTTCATTGTAATTGAGACACAGCCAGAGAAACCATCAGACTTCCAAGTGAATATTTGTACACAAAACTTCAAAAAGTAGCATCATCTACTGGAAGGCCAAATTCTCCCTTTCAACTCCTCCAACAGGCAAGGTGAAACTTCAAGTTGTAGAGAAGAATTTGACGTCTCCACAACATAGAATAGCATTCAAGACCCCAGAAATAGAGCATTAAATGCCAATTTAGAAAAATACTATCTCATTTTAGTCACAGAACAAGTCATTATGGGAAACATGAATATGATATGCCTCCAAAACATACACCTTTAATCAGCATGATAAACCTTCACATATTTCTATAAACCGGTAATAGTTAAATAAATTTTGTAAAAAGTGCAGGTTGTAAAAGGAAAAGAAAGAGAACTTAAAGGGATACAGATGGCAAGTATCATAGGAGATGGACTTGGTAGTTGGTACTAGTGAAGAAATGTAATAAGGCTACTTCAGAAAAGGAAAAATTAAAATTCTAAACCACATTCGTACTATAGAGATCTAGCAACAAACCAAATGGAGGTGGCAAAAAAGGATTCATGTAACAGACCCCTAATTTATTGGGAAAGGGGTGTTGTTATAACGGGACACAATCAAGGTTCAAATTCAAAATTAGATTTCTATTTTTTGCCCCAAACAAAATCTACAGGTCGCTTCTTCTTAATCTATTTGTGCTTACTGAGAGAAAGGAATGAATAATACAACTGGATATTAAAACAAGAAATCAATAAGCGTAAAGCTATACAATGCAGGCAAGGATAAATGCAGATGAAAAACCCAGTACCTTCAAGTCTAAAATGTTGTAAGCATTGCCAGCATCGGCCTGGTCCCATAACATGTCTGGGGAATACCTACTTTGTCCATCAACAATGAACCTATAGTGATAAACTCCTGAAGGGAGTACTTTCAAAATGGTGAAGTCTTTCCCTGATCTCTGTAAGGGCTTCCTGATGAAAAGATATCAGTATGCAAAATCAGCTTATAATTCGTAAAAGCTTGAGAACCAGAAAATTAATTTGTTAGGCAATAGTACAAGTATTACCTTGTCATCCAGCCATCCCATGATCCCTCCACAGCCACTTCCTGGCCACCATGGCTCCATATGATCATAGTTGGAATTCCTTGCTCCATATACATGTCTTCATACCCTGATGTCATTTGCATCCATGACGAGCTGGGGCTGTGCCTCTCGTCAGGTCTTTGCAAAGGAACCACTGGCATCTGAAGAGGCAAAAGCAAGATATAATCATTTTAAATCTTTTAAAGTAGATATCCAATATCGGGCAGAGAAATGGAACAGCTTGCACACTTCATAAATTGACTATTACAGACTAATAGCACAATTCACGTTGTAATCTTTCCGGTTATGTTTCCATTAGTGCGAGTAGCTGACCTACAACCAAATTATGTGGAGTGGCAGAGCCAGCGGGTAAGTTGAGTGGGGGCGTAAAAGCTTGTTTGGCTCAGTCTAGAAAAGAAGTAGAGGTACTTTTGTGAAAATTAAATAAAGACTACATTTGACTTAGAAGTTTCTTCCATTTTTGCTTTGGCAAACATATTTGACCACAGAAAAATTACATAGAAGTAACTTTAGAACTAAACACACGTTTGGCTAGGCTTAAAAGTTAATTTTAAGTAACTTTATTTTTTCTAGACTTGGCCAAATTCAACCTATAAAATCAGTTCACGGTTCAGCAAACTAAACAAAAGCGAAGAAAGAAAATTCAGAAAATTTCCAAAACCCCAAGTCTTTCAAGTCCCTCCCATTACTGTAGTTTGTGTTTCATGGGAAGAACCAAAGATGACAAACTCAAGAGATGGTTGAATTTTTAGCATGATTTATATGATTAAAGAAAGACCAGCAAAAATCGTCCTGCAATTCTTCAAATGGATATATGATGGCAACGGATGGCTACTAATCTTAATCCTTACACCTATTTCTTTTCTTTTTTTTTTTTTTTGTATTTATGGCATTTATTCGTCTACTCTTTCAGTGTTGTCCATTTGGAATCCATATCACACAGCTCTTCCCTCCGTCAAACATCACCATGTTCAGCAGCAGCACCCTACTGTGCAATAGAAACCAAGAATTGCAGTTTGTTTTGTGAGTGGGGTACAGAGATTCAAGCTCACCAGGCATCCATTGAACAAAAAAC